GTTGACAACCAGTGCCCCGGATGGCGTGAAAGACAAGTATCTCCTTACAAGCATAGTTCTCAATGCACCCTGATACCTTCCACCCACAGAACTGAGCAGATCTGCATAGAGTTTCTACTGCATTATTGCTTCAGGTTATCTTTAATTCTGGACTGCAAGTTCCATGGGGGCAGATACCAAATCTGTGTTTTTTCTGCAATATCCCAACGCTGGACATATAGTAGGTAGTCAACAATCACTATTTTAAATACACCAAAGAAATCTTGGGTCATTTTCCTTTTAACACTATTTTTTAAAGATGTGCTTATTTGAAAGGCAGGATGACAGAGAGGGACAGAGAGAGATCTATCTACTGGTTCGCTCCCCAAATGGCCATAAGTTAAAGTCGGAAGCCAAGAACTCCATCTGGTTCTCCCATGTGGGTGGCAGAAGTCCCAGCATTTGGGCCATCTCCCGCTACTTTCCCAGGCACATTAGCAGGGAGCTGGATTGGAAGCAGAGGAAGCCAGGAGTCAAACCAACTCTCCAACTTGGAATGACACCATGGCAGCTAGTGGCTTAACCTGCTGGACCACAGCACCAGCCCCTTAAGGTTATTTTTTTTACAAAAGATTTATTTATTTATTTTAAAGACAGAGAGGGAGGGAGAGGGAGAGGGAGAAAGAGACAGAAAAAGAGAGAAAAGATCTTCCATTCCACTTGTTCACTCCCCCAAATGGCTGCAAGTCACTGGGCTGAGAAAGGCTGAAGTCAAGAACCAGGAGCCTCTTCTGGGTCTCCCACGTGGATGCCAGGGGCCCACATACTCAGGCCATCTTCTGCTGCTTTCCCAGAAGCATTAGCAAGGAACTGGATCAGACATGGAATAGTTAGAACACAAAACAGCACTCTTACGGGATGCTGTCATCATAGGCAGTGGCTTAACCTGCTATGCCACAACATGTCCCCTTAATACTATTTTAAGTTAACATTTTTCTAATTTGATAGATATATCCAATGGAATATTATTCTGCCATTAAAAAGAATAAAAGCTTGCCATTTTCAGCAACATGGTAGGAACTAGAAGATATTATGTTAGATGATTTAAGCCAGACACAGAAAGAAAAATACCACATGTCCTCACTTACATGTGAAAATTTAAAAGTTTTATGTTATTGCATTAGAGATAGAATAGTAGTTACCAGAAGCTACAGAGGGTGCAGGAGAGAGCGAGAAATGGCGAGAGGGCAGTTAATGGGTAAAGGGGTACAGCTGAGAGAAGAAATAACTTAGAATGTTCCAGAGCACAGCAAAATAAGCAAAAATTCAATTAACTGAATATTTCAAAATACCCAGTAGAAAAGATTTTGAATGTTCCCAACCCAAAGAAAGGAGAGATGGTTTTGGTGATGGATATGCCAATTACTCTGATCAGATCATTGCATGTTTTATACACAAATTAAAATATCACATTATATTGGGCCAGCACTGTGGCGTAGCAGGTAAAGCTGCCGCCTGCAAAGCCAGCATCCCATAAGGGCGCCGGTTTGAGTCTCGGCTGTTGCACTTCTGACCCAGCTCCCTGCTAATGTGCCTGGAAAAATAGCAGAAGGTGGCCCAACTCTTTAGTCCCTGACACCCACAGGGGAGATCTGGAAGAAGCTCCAGGCTCCTGGCTTCAGATCAGCCCAGCTCCAGCTGTTGCAGCCATCTGGGGAGTAAACCAGGGCATAGAAGACCTCTCTCTCTCTGCCTCTGCCTCTCTGCAAGTCTGCATTTCAAATAAATAAATAGATCTTTTAAAAAAACACACACACACTATAAATATATACATATCAATTAAAACTTTTAAAAATGAAATAATAATTAAATTTCCAGTCATTCAGGCTTCTCTGGGAAGGGCTTACTGACTAGAATTTGGAACTCAGGGTAGTAAGGGAGACCCTCGCTCATTCACAGGTCTGAGGAAGCCCTGACATGCACCACAAACCCATGATCACGGGAAACACAGGGTTAACCTATGAGGCTCCTGCGTTTTGTTCTTAAGCAAGATTCTGTGTATCGTCCACGATGGATCATAACAGAGCTACCAGAGCAAAACCACAGACCGTTCACAAATCCCCCATGAGGAGGACCTTGCTGCCTGGGAATTCTGTCTGTGTGCCTGCTTTACAGTGTGTCTAATAACAGCCAAAACCCCAACCCTGTGTGCTCCATATGAGGCCGACTCAAGTACTGGGCCCACGGTGACGGCCTCCCTCTGAGCAAGTAAAGGAAGCGGTCAGAACATCTCCTTGGCACCCACCCACACCCCCACCTGGAGTAGACGCTCTCCCTCCCACTCCTCGCCCCACCCCTGAGCTTCTGGTGGTGACAGACAACCTCCTGAGGTCAAAGCCATGATAACAGGGGTCATGCCATCTTGGCGGTCCCAGACCACCTGGCTGACAAAGAACCCATCCCTAAATTAGAATCTATGCTGGTTAACTCCGCACACTGCTGGAGAAGAGAGGGTTTCAAAAATCCAAAAACACAAAACAACTCAGAATTAGGTCTGACTCTCGGTGTCCTAAAATTTCTGACTCACTGCAATGAAAGGAATCTGAGCAAGACTTGGCTCAGAATGAAAAAAAAAAAAAATCCCTAATTTTGGCAGGTGCCGAGAACTACAATTTTGGCTCGCACACAGAGAAAGCAGGGATGTGACAAATAAAAGCTAATACCTATTATTTTGCCATCGGTTCAAATCGGCTTCTTCACAGATGTTCTGTCAGGATGAAGTTTGGCTGCATAGAATCTCACGCAGTACAAGTCTAGAAAGAGGTGGTCCAGGGTTGGCACTGTGCTCCACTGGCACTCGGGCTACTTCTCTCTCTCTAATCTACTATCCTCCCGACCAACTTCCATCTTCAAGGTCACCTCATGGTCACAAGATGGCCACCACAGCTCCAGCCATCAGATCCACATAAAAGGCAATGGGAAGGTGGATACAACAAAATCAAAAACGCCTGCATCCCAACGGCATGAGCCACCTTCAAGTAGCTTTACCAAGAAGCCCAGCCAATAATCCTGGCAGATATCTCACAGCAATGCCACTGAGAAACGCTTCACATCGGCTCTGCCACACCATTCTTCACTCCTCCCCTCAATCCCCAATACACGAGTTTTGTTAGGAAAAAAAAGGCAGGGCGGGGAGGGTTATGGGGTAGGCAGTTAAGTCTCTGCTGTAAAAGAATCAGGAACTTAAAACTGTAAAAGGCCACAAACTTCTAGTATCCAACCTAGCCCATGCCTCCTGTCTTATCAAGAAGACTAAGCCCTACAGCCACTAAAGGCCACACAGCTAATAAGTGGAGACCATGAGGCCTGAGTCAGTCTGCCTCCACCAGATTCAATCTGCCAGACTTCCAACTGAAACGGCAGTGGATTTTGCCCTATATATGCATATGGGTTTAAAATAAATTTTCTATATTGACTTTTCTCTAAAAACTGAAATAAACGTTCATGGGGAAACTAAACTACACACAGACCAATGTGATGAGGAAACACTTCAGGTATTTTTAAACCTTCCGGATTGCTCACATGCCTCGGAACATTGTTTCGGGAAGATTCCAAGGGCTGCATCTTCAAACAGCCCGGTTCCCCTGCCCTCACATCAAAGCAGAGCTCACTAAAACGCACGCCTGATTTACTTCCGATCTCAAAGGAAACCGTCTCCTGTCTATACCAGCCCATGAAAGCCGGATCACAAAGCCTAACCGTCCCCCAAGACCTGCTAAGGCATTTCGTGTCTTATTTATTGTGCTTATCTGACAACTTCACAAGGCTAATAAACATCTCTAAAAATGTGTTGACATTGCAGCTCCTTCTGAATGCCCTTCAGTGTAGTATCAAGTTTGGATACCACAAATATTTCCTTAAGAGAAATAAAAAAAAAAAAATCCACCTAGCAGTACAAGTGGGTATTTGCTTCAGCCTGTATAGTGCATGTATGACATACAAATATCATATCCCCAGGACAGCATTATAAAGTGCGATGCTATAAATAGAATGCCGAGTTCAGCTACCACCCACCCATTCGGTTCTTTGCAAACCTTCCAGGCAACCAGCCAACGGCCGCAGCCAGGGTCACCTGGTCAGTTTCCCAAACCTCCGGACTCGGGGTCTCCCAGAGCCCCCACCCAGCGATGCCTAGTCTCCCGACAAAGCACAGCTCCCTAACTCCACCGCTCCCCGTGATCAATGACTGCCTTCCCTGTGCAAGGTGCGCGCCAGCATTTTTAATTACACTGGTGCCAAATTAATCAGGCCTGGGCACAATTCATCACCAACGACTCGCCTTCGATCTTGCCACACTTAGTGGGCGCCCGTGGCAATGCCAGGGGTCCACGGACAAGGAAGAAGCGTGCCCTTATCCTCGGAGCTCAAGGCCAGACCGAAGCGGGCCGTCCGGGCTCCGGCGGCCCGGCACCAGCAGTGCGCGGGACGGGGAGACGCCACGTCTCTCCCCAAACCGCGCCATTCTGCCATCTCCACACCCTTCCCCGGCTGGAAACGCCAGGCGAGGGAACTCCTCTCAGCCTGACTAGGGCAGGATTTCTCGCCCAAGCTTTCCAACCGGACGACACCTCACCCTGACACTCAACTGCTCGGCTTGCCTTTGGGTTTAGTTTTTTTGTTTTTTGACTGGAGGACAACGGACGGCCAAAGGAACGCGCGTCCTGTCAGCGGGAGACGCGGCAAGCGCCGTTTCCCGACGGGCTCGCCGCGCTCCCAGGGAGGACCCGGGCAGCCCGCGGCGTCCCCCCGCGCCACGCCCGCGCACAGGGGGCCCCGGCCGGGCACCGCCGTCCTGTCTCCCCACGCGGGGGGAATCCCAGCCCGGGCCGCCCGGGAGAGCCGGCTCCCGCCGCCTCGGCTTCTGAGCGCGGGGCCGCCGCTGGGCGGCGGAAGGCGGATACGGCCGCACCCGCCGGTCTTTTTTCAAGGTTCCTCGAGTTGGCCGGTTCTCCCGCCCCTGTGGGGGTGGCCGCGGGGCCCCAGGCGCCCGGCCGCCCGCCCGCTCCCGGCGGAAGGAGGCGGAGAGGCGCGAGTCGGGGGCAGCGGCGGCGGCGAGCACCCGGCGAGCGAAAAGGGGCCGGGCGGGAGCACCCCGGGTCCCAGCCGGGCGCCGCGAGAGGGCGCTGCTGCCGGCGCGGCGGGGACGGGGAGCCGGACGGGGCAAGGAGGGCTGGGCCGGGAGGCGCGGAGCCCACGCCGCGCCCGTGCGCGCCCGCTACTTACCCACGGAGCAGGTGAGGAGCGCCAGCAGCGCGGCCAGCGCGAGGCGGCGGTCGCCGCGGCGGGCGGGCGGCTGCATCCCGGCGGCGGGGGCTGCGCACCCTGGATGATCGCGGGGACGGGAGACGCGCGCGGAGCGGAGCTGCGCCGCTGCCGCCGCCGCCGCCGCCGCCCTGCCGCCGCGGCTGACCCTGCTCCGCCGGCTCCCCTCCTCCCTCCTCCGGCTCGGCCGCGCCGGCTCCGGCCGCGCCCTCTGGCGGCCGGGAGCGGGAGCGCCCGCCGGGCTCGGGGCTGCCCCCGGGGTCCGGCCCGACGGGCGGCGGGGAGAGGGTGCAGCCGCTCCGCCAGGACACGGCCCTCCTCCCAGGCGTCTGCCCTCCGCTGCCCCGGCCGCTGATCTCCACGCCGTCCACCTGACCGCGCCCGGCGTTTTCCCTTCGTGTCCTCCCACCCTACTCCGTCGCGCTGCTGGTCTCAGCGGGTCCCTAGCTCCCCTTCGAATACCCGAAGTGAAGGGGAGGAAGCAGTTTTCTTCTTTGCTGATGTAGCATCTGCTATAAAAAAAAAAAATCAATAATTCTGCTCAGTATTGTTGGCATCAGTGTTGTACTTTGATGAAGGTGTTTTTAATCAGCTCAGCTAATTTGCTTAATACCTCTTTTTTAATGGAATTTGGCCAATCACTTAAGCCTGGAACTTTGCTTTTAATAGATGTTTGTGGAAAGGTAATTTTCTGTGTATTTAATTTTAAGTGATTGTCGTAATGGAAGAGGGAAGGTATAATTTTATCGAAAACGTCGGATAAAAAGTAATTAAGTGGGAAAAGGGGAGTGACATGGGAGGCCCCCCAGGAGACCCTCCTACCCCTAACAGGCCTGAGAGCAGAGTGGTGGGCCTGGCTGGCCCCCTTGTGTTGCATGGTGGAAAGCAATCACAAATGGAGTTGGAGAAGCCACCTGTCATGGCTGTGCATTCCTGCGCGCTTCCCCCTACCTTTAATTCCTTTCTGTGTCCAGGGAGGGAGACTGGGCGGAGGGCTTGTCCCCAGCCCGGGGCTAGCCCGAGAGCTCCTGAAGGCAGTGACTTATTTCATTCATATTTACTCACAGTGTTTGGATGCCTGCCACTCCAGCAGTGTCTGCCACATGGACTGACAGCCTTCACATTGCTGAACGCTGAGTGAGGATCAGCACCAGGCCTCAGGAGTTCAGGTAGGGTGCTGGAGAAACAGAGAAGCAGGTGCTGAAGAAATGTTTGGAGTCTTGAACCTCATAAACCTCGGGGTTTTTAGGGCCTTGGTCTCTTATGTGCTAGGACAGTCTTGTCACTCTTCCATGCAACAGCTGCCACATTTGTTTGTTTGTTTTAAGAAAATCTGGAGACCATGTGCGTGCTCTCTCTCTCTGATTTATATTGGCATCTTCAAATCGGGAACTAAGCTGTTTTGTGTCAGGAGAAGGCATTTCGCCTCATAGTTAAGACACCCATGTCTCACATCAGAGTGTCTGGGTTTGATTGCCAGCTCTGGCTCCCGATTCCAGCTTTCTTCCAGTTCAGACCCTGGGAGGTCAAAGTGACAGCTCTTGCAATTGGGTTCCTGTCACATAGGAGGCCTGGCTTGTGCTCCCCATCTCTGGCCACTGCAGGCATTTGGGCCATCTCTACCTGTCTCTGCCTCTCTCTTTCTCTAATAAATAAATTAAAATCTTAAAGACATAATTATTTCATGCATTATCCATTTCATGTGACTGCAGATAGTACCGTTTTGTTCAGTCAAGGCTGTGGAAAAGGTTGTGGAAAAGAAATGTAGAAAGATTTTCGCTTCTCTCTCTCTCTCTCTCTCTTTTTTTTTTTTTTTTTTTTTTTAGATTTATTTCTTTGAAAAGCAGAGAAAGGGAAAGATCATCTGCATGTTCACTCCCCAAATGGCTACAACAGCCAGGTCTGGGCCAGGCTGAAGCCAGGAGCCAGGAACTCCAGCCGAGTCTCCCTGTGGATGGCAGGACCCCAAGTACTCGGGCCATCTTCCGCTGCCTTCCTAGGTGCATTAGCAGGGAGCTGGATTGGAAGTGCAGCAGCTGATGCTCTGCTGTGAAATCCTGGCACCAAAACCAGCAGCTTAACCCACTACACCACCTCGCCAGCACCTTCACTTCCTTTCTTAGTGAAGATTTTTAAATTTATGCTTGATTTCATTGATCTCTTTTATCCTTCTTGGGAAAATTCTTTTTTTTTAAAGATATATTTATTTATATGAAAGTCAGAGTTATACAGAGAGAGAAGGAGAGGCAGAGAGAGAAAGAGGAGAGAGAGAGAGAGAGAGAGAGTCTTCCATCCGATGGCTCACTTCCCAGTTGACCACAATGGCCGGAGCTGTGCCAATTTAAAACCAGGAACCAGAAGCTTCCTCCGGGCCTCCCACATGGGTGCAGGGGCCCAAAGACCTGGGCCATTTTCTGCTGCTTTCCCAGGCCACAGCAGAGAGCTGGATTGGAAGTGGAGCAGCTGGGTCTCGAACTGGCGCCCGTATGGGATGGTGGCACTGCAGGCGGCAGCCCCGCCCGGGGCACCACAGCACCGGCCCCCCTTCTTAGGAAAATTCTAAAACATACCTGCCTAATTGAACATTATAGATTGCTTCCAATTTCAAAACTCTTCAACTTTCTTCTAAGAAAACATTCCTTGAACCAGTGCTGTGGCTTAGTCAGTAAAGCCCTTGTGTGATAACAGCATGCTGAGTTCGAGTCCCGGCTGCGCCCCCCTTTTTTTTTTTTTTTTTTTTCTGACAGGCAGAGTGGACAGTGAGAGAGGGAGACAGAAAGGTCTTCCTTTTCCATTGGTTCACCAAGTGGCTGTTACAGTTGGCGCACCGCGCTGATCCGAAGCCAGGAGCCAGGTGCTTCTTCCTGGTCTTCCATGCAGGTGCAGGGCCCAAGCACTTGGGCCATCCTCCACTGCACATCCTGGGCCGCAGCAGAGAGCTGGACTGGAAGAGGAGCAACCAGGACAGAATCTGGCACCCCGACCAGGACTAGAACCCAGGGTGCCAGCGCCACTGGCAGAGGTTTTAGCCTATTGAGCCGCGGCACCGGCTTTGGCTGCTCCACTTCTAATCCAGCTCTCTGCTAATGACCTGGGAAAAGCAGCAGAAGATGGCCCACGTGTTTGGGCCCCTGCCACCAATCTAGGAGACCCTGATGAAGCTCCTGGCTTTAGCCTGGCCCAGCCCCTGCTGTTGGCAGGCTTCTGGGGTGTGAATCAGCAGAGGGAAGATCTCTCTCTGGCTCTCCCTCTCTCTCTGTCACTGATTTTCAAATAAAATAAATAAATCTTTAAAAGAACACAAGCGCTCATATATGTTAGATATTAAACATATTTAGCCAAGTAGACACAAGACTAACAATTAAGCAAACTCAGATGCCTGTTCCACATAATAACTCTAGTTGCTTAATCCAAGTTTTTGTCCAAGGGGCTGGTGTTCTAGCATAGTGGTTCAAGCCACCACTGTTGGAGCACTAGTTCGAGTCCTGGCTGCCCTGCTTCTGACCCAGCTCCCTGCTGATGTGCCTGGAAAGGCAGCAGAAAATGTTCCAAGTGCTTGGGCCCCTGCCACCCATATGGGAGACCAGGGTGGAGTTCCTGGCTCCTGGCTTCAGCTTGACCCCGCCCCCCAGCCATTGTGGCCATTTGAGGACTGAACCAGTGATGGGTGATGTCTCGATCTCTCTCTCTCGTTGCCTTTTAAATCCTTTTTTTTTTTTTTTTAAGTTTCCGTCTGAATCTGTCCCGTGAAAGTATCACTGTGTTCCAGTCCACATTGGGGAGAATTGAGCCCTGAGGGTGATGGAGAGTGCACGCTGAGTGATAAACTTGCCCTGGCGTTCCTCCTCTCGCAGCAGGTGTAGATAAATGGCAGTGCGCAAAGCTCCTAACTCACGTTCCCAGCAGGATTACCCTTCACCTCCTCTAGTCCTGTGATAGATGGACTTGCTGGGAGCCCCTCCCAATCCCACAGTGAGAGCCCTTCCTGGCGCACACGTCCTCAGGTGGACGCCATCAGGCAGTGCCTGGGTCGGAGCCATCTTAGCCCTGGGTAACACCAGCTGTAGGAGGGGATGACTTACAATAGAGAAGAGCAAACCTGCCAAGTGCGGAGATTGTGATGTGCAGAGGAGCAAGCCGTAGCTGGCTCTTCCTGGGGTTCTTTCACCTCCATCCCAGCTGCTACCCTTGTGCTGGCCCGTGGAAATAGGCCAGGTCGCCAGGAGAAGCAGGGAGCCGCCCCTTTTGGGGGAAGCCCTGTTGTTGCAGCCTAGTAAGTTTTTAAAGAATTTTCCCAACACTATAGGAAACAGAACTACCACTGGCAGCCAGAAAAATCTAATGAAAAAGTTCCAAATGAATCATCAGTGATCTTGGAACTACTGTATTTTGGGCCTCAAATACAGGGCTCCTTTCATTCATTCATTAACTGTTAGTGAACACTTTCTAACTGATGCTCCTTTTGTTGGGGCTCTGGGGCAGATACTGAGAATCAGGAAACATGGCACTGGGCCCAGGATGTCACAGTCCAGTTGGGGAGACAGAAGTGTTCATAACTAATTTTACTACTGTGCAATAATGCTATATAGTACAAGTAGACAGGAGCACTTCAGAACGCACAGGGAAAATGAATCTGAGAGCCACAGGCAACCATCAGAAAAGTTGGAGAGACTTTAGCATAGGATTTTAATTGATTGATTCAAAAGGCAGAAAGAGAGACAGGTCTGCATCCACTGGTTCACTCCCCAAATGGCCTCAACTACCAGGGCTAGGCCAGGCCAAAGCCAGGAGACTAGAAATCCATCCAGTCTTCCACATGGGGTAGCAGGGCCCAATTACTTGGGCCATCATCCGCTTCTTTCCAAGGCATGTTAGCAGGCAGCTGGATCAGAAGTGGGGGCAACCAGGGGCCGGCAGTGTGGCATAACAGGTAAAGCCGCAGCCTGCAGTACCAGCATCCCGTGGGCACTGGTTCAAATCCCAGCTGCAAGACCAGAAAAAAGCTCCTGGCTCCTGGCTTCAGCGTGGCCCAGCCTTGACCATTGTGACCATTTGGGGAGTGAACCAACAGATGGAAGATGGTTCTCTCTCTCTGCCTCTCTGTAACTCTGCCTTTCAAATAAATAAATAAATCCTTTTTTTAAAAAAGTGAGGCAGCCAGACTTGAGCCGGCCCTGCAGTATGGAACGCCAGCATGTAAGTAGCAGCTTAAGCCCCTGTGTACAATGCCAGGCTGTAGCCAGGATCTTAAAGGACAAATAGCAGGTTTTCAAGACTGAGAAAATGAGGGCAGGCAGAGGTACAGCGTGAACAAAATACAAGAGCTGAGAGCAGCGCATGGGTCGGGAAGTGGCAGTAGGTGGCCCTGGCTTCTTGGGAGGGACCCTCGTGGCATCCTGCTCCCGTTGCTGCAAAGACCTGATGTTAGAGCCACGACACAATCCCGCCTGCTAAGCACCCCCCCCAGCTCCTCCTGGAATCTGCTCACCGGGTGTGAAGGGAGCCACCGATCGCTTTACTCGATGCTTTCACATCTAGAGAAGCAGGAGAACCTTTATCCTCCATAGGAGAGAAAGTGAGACAGGAGCAGAAAAAAGCAAAACCCTCTACCACGCAGCACAGACCCACTGGGCACAGCTCCGCTCCCTCACTGCCTAACTCCCACCACAAGTACTCCAGCAAAATGCTTGGATGACATGAAGTCGTCCCTTGAGAAAACGGCTTCACTTTGCTTCCGAAGCTTTACAGAAATCAGGAAAAACTCATCTTGGTGGCCCAGACTTTCAAGTAGATTTTTACCCAAAGAGGCTTAATCAAGGGCTTCTCCCAGCCTACCAGCCTTGAACTGAGATCCAGGAGATACAATCCCAGTTACATGGTGCGAGCCCCCAGGGCACACCTGGAGATCCCACACCACTGATACTTGGTTTTCTGTTCCCCTGAAGCCATAGTGTGGCATAAAAGCTTCTCTACAAAACGACCTATCTTCTAGGAACTTCTAACCAGACCTAGATGACCTGCATGGCTGTTTGGTTCTTGCTGGAGTCCTGGACCCTTCCGTCCTCGGTAAGTTCAGGCGTCATTCATCACTAGCGTAGCAACAAGAGCAGTAGGAAATGTCGGTGTCTGACATTGATGAGAACAGAAGGCGTGCGCGGGACTCTTCGGCAGCCTGCACAAATCATCTTGGTGTTTCTGGTGCTGCTGCTTAGAAGCAGTTGTTCATTTTTTTTTTTTAAGATTTATTTTATTTATTTGAAAGACAGCGTTACAGAGAGAGGTGGAGACAGAGAGAGAGGTCCTCCATCCGATGGTTCACTCCCCAGATGGCCGCAACGGCTGGAGCTGCGCCAATCCGAAGCCAGGAGCCAGGAGCTTCTTCCAGGTCTCCCACGTGGGTGCAGGGGCCCAAGGACTTGGGCCATCTTCTACTGCTTTCCCAGGCCACAGCAGAGAGCTGGATCGGAAGTGGAGCAGCCAGCTCTTGAACCGGCGCCCACATGGGATGCCGGCACCTCAGGCCAGGGCTTCAACCCACTGTGCCACAGCACCAGCCCCCATCAGCAACAGTTGTTCATTTTACAACACCTGCTTTCCGGTCGAACCAGCTCAACAAAATGAATAATAATAACTTTCTGTGTGTGGTCATGATCGAACATATCATAGGAACTACCTGTGTGAAGTCTTCCTGTGACATGAGGTTGAGGAAAGGGATGCACATTTCTGGGTGAGGACACAGTCTGATCAGAAGGTCAAGGCTCGCCTAAGTAGCCGTGAGCCTGTGTAGAAACCCGTGAGTCCCCTGGAAAGCATCTGAACAAAGGTAGAAGTGCAGGAGAGCACCTCCAGTGGAGACTGGAGAAGAACTCACAGCAAAGGCGCACTGCATTGATGGGCTGTGGGCTGACGGTGAAGGGCATGTCCTTTTGGTGCAAAATTTGAAATCTCTGCACAGTTTTTTCATAACATGCTTTTGCCACAGACTTTTTGAAGACCCATCATGCTATTTCATCTAACCCTCACCAAAAAAGTTCTTAAAATTTGTTCAAATGAAAGGACTATTACAAATTAATGTGCTGAGTCTCAAGTCAAATACACGTTGGCCAGAGCTGCCCGTAATGGAAATCCTGCTCTTTCACAGGACGACTCCCAGCAGGAGGAGAAAGGAGCTCCACAAAGGCATGACAGAGGCCAGATCAATTGTGGTGCTGAGGGAGTCAGTAATGGCGGGAGCAAAGGAAGGGACCACAGGTTGGGACCATTAAGGCAATTAACTGACATGGAAAGCTGACAGAGGAATGAGATTGTAGAGAAAAATAAGAGTATCATCATGGTTACTAGTTTAAATGATAGCTATAACTTCACTATATCAATCCATTAATAACAATAGTTAACACTTACTGTTTAGCAGGTGCCCCACCAAGTGCTTTACCTGCATTATTTCGTGTTAAACAATATCATTCCATTCTCCAAACAGGTTTATCACCATCATTCCAATTACAATGGAAATCGAGTAACTCACAGCAGTCGGCTCAAGGGCCCCTCAGACTCCTTCAGGATGTCCAAGTTTGCAAAGTCAAAACTGCTTCTACAGCAATACTGAAATGTTACTCTTTTTTTCAGAGATGAATTTCCACTGGTAGTGCAAAAGAGTGCTGTCACTACGGCACTAATCAAGGCATTGACGCCAAAATGTACTGTGGGAAAACAAACAAAGCCAAGTTCACTTACAAGGGTACTTGATGAAGCAGTAAAAATTTAATTACACCCTTGACTACACAGCTTTTTAATTTGAGGGTACTTTTAAAAGTTCTTAGAAAAAAATGGAATTACAGGTATGTTCAGGGGCAGGCATTTGGCCTGGTGGGTAAGATGCCTGCATCCCACAGTGAAGTACCTGGGTTAATTCTTGGCTCCACTCCTGATTCCAGCTCCCCACCAATGCACCTGGGAGGCACAAGTGAATTTCCAAATAGTTAGCTTCCTGCTATCCATGTGGGAGACCTAGATTGAATTCCTGACTCCTGACCTGGCCTCTATGGGCATTTGAGGAGTGAACCAATAGATGGTCCATCTTTCTGTCTGTTTCTGTCTCTCTCTCAAAAAAAAAAAAAAATTTTTTTTTCTTTTAGTTCTGTGTTGTGGCACAGCAGGTTAAACCACAGCCTGCAAAGCAGGCATCCCATATGGGTGCCAGTTTGAGTCCCAGCTGCTCCACTTCCCTTCCAGCTCCCTGCTAATGCACCTGAGGAAAGCAGCATAAGATGACCCAAGAGCTTGGGCCCCTGCACCCATGTGGGAGACCAGATGAAGCTCCTGGCTCCTGGCTTCAGCTTGTCCCAACACTGGCTGTTAGGCCATTTAGGGAGTGAACCACCAGATGGAAAATCTATTTGTTGCTCACTCACTCTCTAACTCTGCCTTTCAAGAAATAAATCTTTAAATATAAATACATATGTATATGTTTATTTGAATGCAAAAAATTGTTTTGGAATTCCACGCATAGTTTTTTGTAATACTCATTTCCTAAAAACTTTCTGAAGTACCCTCATGTTTTAGGGACAAATTGAGAAATAAGCATACAATTCCTTTGCGTATCAAAGTATGCTATCTCAAGCAAAAACACTAGTGAGATTCCTTGAGTTGCAAACTGAACTAGCTGATTTTTTCAGGTAGAAAAGCTGACAAACTGTAGTTATGCAGGAGCTGAACAAACACTTTTTCAAAAATAATCAAAGTGAACCTGCCACTTCAGAGAAAACTACTGATGTAATTTGTTGCCAATGACAACATTGAAGTTTCCTCGAAATTACAAGTTTGCCTCCATGAGCTTAACAGTCTCCCAATCCTTCAAGACTTTTTTTGATGAAATCAATGATAGTGTTAACAAGCATGATTTTTTTTTTTCTTTTTGAGACTACAGAGTGAACTACATCAACCTGTGGGAGACCTGTGCACTTTGGCAGAATAATATTTTCCAAATAGCCTAGGTAGAACACAAAAGCATGCATGGGTAAAAATTTCCATTCAAAGTACCAGACAGACTGAAATCTGATATGGTTTCAGACTTCTTGTTACAACTAAGTTTAAGAGACTCCTAATTGTCTCAAATTTGGATGTAACATCAATGAATGATTGGTAAAATATTTCCAGCTCTGCTTTTCAACTCACATCTGTGTGAGACTGGATTTTCTTCATTTACTTCATCCAAAACACCATAACCCAAAGATAAGATGAAGAAACAGATCAAGACTACCTGTTCCTCTTAAGCCAGACATTAAAGGAGTTTATAAAATGTAAAGCAATTATATTCTTCTCACTAATTCTTTACATTTAGAATATGGTTTTCATTGAAATACATCAATATTGCTGAGTTTATTATAAACTTAAAATGAATTAATAAGTATGTTTCAATGTCTCAGCTTTATTTCATTTTTTCTTTTTAAAATGTATTTATTTGAAAGGTAGAGTTACAGAGAAAAAGGGAGAGACAGAGACAGATCTTCTACCCACTGACTCACACCCCAAGTGGCCACATATGACTGGGGCTGGGCTGGGCCAAAGCCAGGGTCTAGAACTCCATCCAGGTCACCCGCATGAGTGCAGGGGCCTAAGGACTTGGGCCATCTTCCACTGCTTTCCCAGGCCATTAGCAGGGAGCTGAATTGGAAGTGGAGCAGCCGGAACTTGAACTCACACCCAAATGGGATGCAGCATTGCAGCCAGAGAGATTACCCGCCATGCCGCAACACTGGCCCCTCAATTTTATTTCTAGTACAGCAAATATTTATAGATATAATACCCGCATAAGCCAAACTTCTTTGGAGTTTTCAGTGATTTTTCAGAGTCTGAAGGCATCCTGAAAACTGTCAGCCAGACACATAACTTAGAAACTGTGGAAGTGAGTACTAAAACCCAGATCCATCTGACCCCAAAACTCTTTCACCCATTGTGCTTGGTTCCTTCCTGTTTGGCTTCAGAACTGTTGTATTTGGGTTGCCAGATTTCCAGGAAGCCCATGTTGGCTCCCAGTCACCTAATTAAGACCTCGGTTATTAAAGGATTTAAAATAATAAATATCAGTTCTATGGGCAAGTTTATGCCGGGGCAACAAGCAACTCTAAACTCTCAGTGGCTTAACTTAACAAAAGGCTTTCTTAGTCATGCCAAGTCTGCAGCTTGCTGGGGACACTCTGGGCCAGCGGCTCCCCCTTTTCACAGATCTAGGCTGGCTGCCACCAGAACTCAGGCCCTGCACAATCACCACCGCAGACAGGTCTGGGCTGCAGAGCCAAGCACCAGCCATCAACACTGGCTGCAGAAGTGTCGCGCTTCGCTTCTGCCTGCCTCGCACTGAGGGGCGAGAGGTGCCATCCTCTAGCCCAGAACAGAGGTGAGCTGGACACAGTACTGTCCGTTATCTTGCCTGTCCTCTGCAGGGGACTTCAAAGAATTCATGGAAAATGAAACCAAAAGAGATGTTTATCTCTCTGCCAAAGTTTTTGAAATCCATACACAGTGTGTTCACCATCTGCATTTTCCAAAAACTTCTGGGGATCCCTTGTATGTTTCCAGCCAGCCAACTATACCCCATCTTCTACTCTGAAAGGATGCCATGCTGGACACTGGGGCACACAGTGAGCGAGGATGTATCCTCTGCCCTTTCGGAATTCACAGGGAAGATTTGGAAAGGTCAAAGTAAAAGAACGCCACCTTACCTCTGTGTGACTCCTTACTATTTACTTATTTAAGTCAGAAATACAGAGAGAAAGAAAGAGAAAGAAATCTTCCATTCTCTGGTTCACTCCCCATATGGCCGCAACAGCCTGGCCCAGCCGTGGCAGGAGCCAGGGGCAGCTCCTTACTATTTACAAAGTAAATGCACAAGTAACAGCTGAACAAGGCAGTCAGGAATGTCCAGATGAACTGAATGGTTTGGGTGTTCTTGGAAGAAAGCAAACCAGTTTGGGTGGTTTCAGGGAGAAGGAGAGATCTGAGTAGAGATCATGAAATGACCCAAACCAGCAGAAATGGGAAGGAGAGAAAATGAAGACATAGTGAAGTCAGACAGGAACTGCAGCATGCTGAGTGTATGGTGTGGCTACAATTTTTGGTTGTTTTTTTTTTTGAAGATCTGTGTGTTGGACCGGCACTGTGGTGTAGCTGGTAAAGCCACCACTTGCAATGCCTGCTTCCCAAATGGGTGCCTTTTTGTGTCCCAACTGCTCCACTTGGGCCCCTGCACCCACATGGGACACCCAGCCAGGGAGGACCAGACCCACGGCAAAGGAGGCCACAAGGCCCTGAGCGTGTCAACACTATTATCAAGGAAATGTTTAGCTTAGCGATACAGGCATTTATTAAAGTTGAAGAAGCCAAAGCCAAAGCATGCCTTGTGTGTTTCTTTTCTAAAAATGTACTTTTTTCATAATTCCCCTGCTTCAATAACAATAAAATAGCTATAGCATAATTGTTTCACATAACTGAAAATATAACTTTCAGAAATAGCATTAAATCAAGCAGATGTCAGAAGTACCTTGCTTAAATTAAATTGTCGTGGTTGGGGGTTTTCTTTTGTTTTCTCTGGGTTCTGAAAGCAGGAGTAGGCAAGTCCTGTGTAGCATTTCCCTGCTGAGTGCATTGATGTCGACTTCTGGAGGGACCATAAAATAGAAGAAGAAAGACCCAAATCTTGAGATGTATGTGATGTGTCTGCTCAGAGAAGCTGCTGTGTGATTCATTGCAGAACCTTGGGCCCCAACTGAAAACAAGGAGAAGCCGAAGCAGATCAGAGAACAGAAGAGAAGCTAATCCAAGGAGGCACATAAGAAGGTGTAGAATTTAAAGCAAATCTCTTCTTTGTCTTATCTTCACAAAATAACAGCCTTTGGTTTGTTTATATGTTTGAAGTTAACCTTAGATTGTACAATGCTAGACCAAGTAAGGAAATTGAGGCAAGATTGATGAAGTCTTGAATGGCAGGCTTATAAAGCTGCACCTTTTCCACCAGTCTAAAGGGAACAGCTGGTGCCAGTGTTGGAGCACTGCTGATTAAGCCTCCACTGGCAATGCCAGCATCCATAGCAGAGTGCCAGTTCAAGACCTGGCTGCTCTGCTTCTGAGTCGGCTTCCTGCTAATGTGACTGGGAAGGCAGCAGAAGATAGCCCAAGTACTTGGGCTTCTGCTACCCATGTGGAAGACACAGATGGAGGTCCTGGCTCCTGGCTTCAGCATGGCCTAGTCCTGACTATTGCAGCTATTTGGGAGTGAACCAGCAGGTAAAAGATCTCTCTTTCTCTCTTTGACATTCTGCTCTTTAAAATATGTGCATACATACATACATAAATTTTAAAACAAGAAAAAACATCCTACATCAGAGTAGCCTGGGTTCAATTCCCAGCTCCTGTTCCTGATACTGGCTTCTTGCTAATGCCTACTTTGTGAGGCAGTGGTGATGGCTCTAGTAATTGGGTTCCTGCCACCCACATGGGAGACCAGCATTGAATTTCTGGCCCAGTCCCAGATGCTGTGGGCATTTGGAGAATGAACCAGTAAATGGAAGGTCGGTTGGTCGCTCTCTCTCTCTCTCTCTCTCTCTCTCTGCCTTTCAAATAAAGAAATTTTTATGAAGATATATTTATTTTATTTGAAAGACATAGCTACAGAGAGAGGAGAGACCATGAGAGAGAGAGATTCTATCAACTGTTTCACTCCCCAAATGGCTACAATGGCCAGGGCTGGGCCAGGCCAAACCTGGGAGCCCAAGCACTGGGGCCATCTTTTGCTGCTCTCTCAGGCTCATTAGCAGGGAGCTGGATTGGAAATGAAGCAGCCTGCTGGTGTTGCAGGCAGCGGCTTAACCTGCTACACCACAACACTGGCCCCAGAAATTTATAAAAATGCTATGTATTAAATTTAAAAATTCACAAAGACGAGTTGTGATATTTTCCCTGCATCTCAGTAGCTCATCTTGGCCCCAACCCCAGCCCAAAGAGCACACACACTTCATACATAGTTCCATCATGCTCTTCGCCAATCTATCACATTGTACTGTAACTGCTTCAGTACCCTAATTTGCTGTTGTATCTGTACAGTGCCTGACACAAAAATACCTGTTGAATTCACTAATATAACATTAGAAATCATTTTTAAAAAACCAATAGTTTAATTTCCCATACTTTTCCCAGTAGTGGCAGATTGCAGAAATTGGTGTTTTGCTGGGCTTAACTGAAAAACTGCAGTGTAAAAGCCAAGGGAGGCCGGCACTGCGGCTCACTAGGCTAATCCTCCGCCTTGCGGCGGCCGGCATACCAGATTCTAGTCCTGGTCGGGGCGCCGGATTCTGTCCTAGTTGCCCCTCTTCCAGGCCAGCTCTCTGCTGTGGCCAGGGAAGTGCAGTGGAGGATGGCCCAAGTCCTTGGGCCCTGCACCCCATGGGAGACCAGGAGAAGTACCTGGCTCCTGCCATCGGATCAGCGCAGTGCACTGGCCGCAGCGTGCCAGCCACAGCGGCCACTGGAGGCTGAACCAACGGCAAAGAAAGACCTTTCTCTCTGTCTCTCTCTCTCACTGTCCACTCTGCCTGTCAAAAAAAAAAAAAAAAAAAAAAGCCAAGGGAATGACTTCCTTCCATTGAAACTGCCCCTGCACTCATGCTTATTTAGATTTTCCCTTCTGTCAGTCTCAGATTGATGCCTTCAGGCACAAAAGAATGACAATCCAATCCATACTCTGGAGCTATTTTAAAAACCCAGATCTGGGTTTGTTTTTTAAATGAAGTATTTGGGTATTACTGCTTCAGCTAGGACTGGGTCATTAATTTGCAAATGTGGAAGTCTTTTCCCAAACAAGTCAAAAGCCCAGTTATTCAAGCGGTTCTGGAATCAGAGAGAGGAAAAAAAAATAGGAATATACATTAAATAGTCACAATTCCCATTTCTGAACATTCTATTCAGTTTGGGCATTCAAGGCTCAGTGCTTTTCCTTATGAGAATTATCTGACTGTGAAATGCTTATGGAAAACAGAATCGTTAAGAAACACTGTTCTGTTGTGGCTCTCCAGGATGCTCCTTGTAGTTGTTTGAGTTACACTGCTGATGGCTCCTGAAAGGCGACAGTGCACTAATGTGCTGGTGATTCAGCGTATGAGTTCTGGGAAGACACCTCTCCCTTTCCTCACTGCGTGTGTGCCCCATGGAGAGGTGGCTGAGTATGTGCCGACCCTGTGTGGGGCTCTACAGTGTCATGTCCCCGCCTCCAGTCGATCCCCCAAACAGCCTTTTGTGAATTTGATGAAAAGCGCGTTCTGAAATAGGTCTATAAAGCATCTCGCCTGCGCCTTTGTTCTTTATTTCATTCTGTTTACTTCTCCCGGAAGACAGCATTAAAATTCTGCTAAGAGCTGTTTGGTGACAATAATATGGATAGATACCTACATGGGTTGTTTGAATGCTGCTTCTGTAAGGAAACTTATATGTAGATTGTTGTTGATGGAAACAAATAGCCTATGTAAAAAAGGTTATTATAAGGGTTCTCTGGGGCAGAATATGAGTGACTAAGGCCCCAAAGACACAAGCCTGGGAAAGTTAGTGTCTTGGGAAGTATTCCAAAGTGGTCAAACCGTAGTCAGAACCTGTTAGGCCACTGAGGCATGAACCCCAAGCCCGATGAAGCTGGGCACAGATGAATTACCTAAAGGCTGGTAGAATGTATACTGGCCAGCAAAGCCACTCCCCTGGAACATTCCAGACTTCCCACTCACTGTAGACTTACCGAAGAGCCTTCCTGCACATCCCCTGCCCACCTGATCAGGGTCTGTTAGTAAAATGGCGCAGTCTTAATCTAAGGCACGATCTACCCCCAGATGCCATCCTAGGCTGAGGCCCCTGCCACCATGGCTGGAAGCCAGGTGACCCCATGGCTCAACCACTGGTGTCAGCTCCACCCCCATCCTAATGGGATTCCTGCTCCTACTTCCTTGCCAGTCCCCTCCACCCAGCAAAGTTTTAAGAGGACCTGTTCGGCCAGCGCCATGGCTCACTTGGCTAATCCTCCGCCTGCTATGCCGGCACCCTGGGTTCTAGTCCCAGTTGGGGCGCCGGTTCTGTCCCGGTTGCCCCTCTTCCAGTCCAGCTCTCTGGAGTGCAGTGGAGGATGGCCCAAGTGCTTGGGCCCTGCACCTGCATGGGAGACCAGGAGAAGCACCTGGCTCCTGCCTTCGTTGGATCAGCGCGGTGCGCCAGCTGCAGCACACACCGGCCACAGCGGCCATTGTAGGGTGAACCAACAGAAAAGAAAGACCTTTCTCTCTGTCTCTCTCTCTCACTGTCCACTCTGCCTGTCAAAAAAAAAAAAAAAAAACCTGTTCCTGATCTCTCTCTGTCTCTCTGTCTCTCTCGATCTCTCTCTTAAGCTCTCCTTCTCCCTCTTTCCTTCTTTGCCCCTTCCCTCCGGTCTGTCAGGTTTCTCCCAATAAACCCTTTCCCTTACTCCAGTGTTCCGTGTGTTTTGTGGTGGGTCCACGTGGTACTCTGAACATCCATGACCTCCCCAACAAGCAGCGCAAAAAGGGACTCTGCCCACTGCCCTGGCTTCAAACCCTTGCCCCTCTGTCCAGGCAGGCAGAACCCAACTCTCTTTACCCACCTATTCTGTAACCCCATACAATAAGTCTTTTCTGTCTTAATCAGTCGTCTCCACAAGTTTTCAAACTCTTAAAAAACTAAAAATTAACACTAATCAGCATTTATGTATTCTGTAGCTGCAAATTTGGGTCTGTTGTTACACAGTGAACATGTATCAGCTTGGCCTGAAAAGGAAGATTTTTGGTAAGCAGGAAAAACTTTCACACAGGATGAAAATGACTATTTTTAGAACATAATTGGCTAGAAACACCTTTAGAAACAGGTTATTTTGAAAAGAAGGTTGCTGATCAAGTTAAGAGGGACATTTCTGGGAACTGATGATAAAGAACAAAGAATTACCCAAGTTTGCTCCAGATGGATAAGATGAGACAGATCTTAAGTGCACACCACCCTAGTCAAATTGACCTGGTGCTGGAGATTCATGGCTTTGCACGATCTGCAGACATTTCTCATTCTGGGTTTCTCCTGCGTGCTTTGCAGGCTTTCTTTAAAGGGCAGTTTGTCCTCCAGGTTCAATACTGTTAAAGGCGTGTTGGGGCTCAGAAAACGATACCCAAAAAGATGCCACTTTGGACTCCAAAGTAAAATTCCCCGGGGAAGCCACAGATGCAAACAGGCTTTCCCTGAAGTTCTTTTGTCTGCGTAAAGATGGGATCAGTCTAAGAGAAACATAATCGCCTTAAAATCTTCTTACTGAGATTTCAGTAACCAAGGGAGATTAAACTTACATCTGGGACAAGGGTTGTGGCACAGTCAGTTAAGCTGCAGCATCCTATATCAGAGTGCGGTTCAAGTCCTGGCCACTCTGCTTCCAATCCAGCTTCCTACTAATGCACCCTGGGAGGCAGCAGGTGATAGCTCAAGTGTTTGGGTCTCTGCCACCCATGTCAGAGACCTGGATGGAGTTCTGGGCTTCTGGCTTTGGCATTTGGGGATGAACCAGTGGGTGGAAGCTTACTCGCACTCTGGCTCTTGCTGTTACTCTGCCTTTCAGGTAGATCAGGGGACCTTTTTTCTGCCCAGGGCCACTTGGATATTTTTAGCATCATTCATTCAAAAGCCATACAAAAATATCAACTTAAAAATTAGCCTGGGGCCAATGCTCTGGTGCTGTGGGTTAAGCTGCCTGCCCTTTGCAAAGCCAGCATCCCACATGGGCATCGGTTGCAATCTCGGCTGCTCTACTTCCCATCCAGCTCCTTGCTAATATACCTGGGAAAGCAGGAGTAGATGGCCCAAGTGCTTGGGCTCCTGCACCTGCGTGGAAGACCGGGATAAATCCCCCAGCTCCTGACTTCTGGCTTGGGCCTGGCCCAGTTCCTGGTGTGACAAGTTGGATGGGCTAATAGGCAGTTAGAATTAGGTCCCTGTTGGAATGAGAAAAGGGGGATGCCCTTCAAAAGTGTACAAGATCCATTTTTCTCTGCAGAAGCTATGGTTTAGCAAGACAAAAGTGCCTGTCATACCTGTCTGACTTTGTATTTTTATCATAAGAATAGGAAGAAATTTTCCATCCCACCCTTCTGATGGCTACACTTGATTACAATTCCAGCCTTCTGATGGGCCTTGTCCCCACTCAGTGAGTGATTGTTCTCCAGATGGTGCTTGAGAGACACCACTTCCACCAGTTTCTCAGTCTTCCTCTCTTAGAGCCCCCTCCTGGCTGCTGGGACAGGAGGTTTCTGACTTAAATAAATCTTGCTTTGCTCAATACCTTGTCATGGAAATACTTCTAAGTGAGACAAGAACCAAAGTCGTCTTCCTCGTAGCCATTTTCCCAGTAATACTGGCCATTGTGGCCATTTGGGAAAGAGGGCAGATTCTCTCTCTGCCTTTCCCTCTCTTTGTAACTGCCATTCACTTAAAAATAAATTTTTAAAAAATAAAAGTGAAAAGTAGCCAGCTGTAGACTTATTGAATTTTTGAGTACCACCAGCAGTTGCCTTGGCAGGGCCAGACCAGATGATTTTGTAGGTCTTACACAGCCCCTGGGCTGGGTGTTCATCACGCCTAAAGTAGATAAGAAACATAAACATTTAAACTTGCATCAGAAAAATTGAACCCCACACCTATAGCCTAGAAGAATACTGTCCCAGGCCATGGTCTGCTGTCTGGGCCCCTTCATGTCTCTATAGCTCCCTCCAAATTGCTTGAAGCCCCCCCCCCCCCTTTACCTCTCCACTATGAAGAGGGAGGGTAAGACTCAACCATCTGGCCCTTTGAGTTTTCATATTTTATATGGCTCCTGTGTACATATGCAAATTAATGAATTTTATTTGGTTTTTCTCCTATAAATCCACTGTCAGCTTTATTTCATAGACCAAAATTACCGAGCCTTCAGAGGGAAAGTTTGAACTTTCCTCCAGGAGTTTAAAAAACGAATTCCTATTCAAATGTCCCTAAAGCAGAGGCTAGATGTCACTTGAGACCCCAGCCTCCCCACTTTAGTTCAAGGTTTCCTTGCCCTTCCTTTAGGAATTCCCTTAATAGGGGGAGTGGTTCAATTGGCCCAGGAAAATTCTCCAGTAATTAACATCTAAATGGTCAGTATCCTTTTACTGGATCTTGTTTGAGGGAAATTCCTGCCCAGGGTGGAAAGCAACTACCTCCTGCACGGAGCTCCCTGTGTTACTGAAGCCCACCTGACCACTATAAAAATTCCAGAAAGAGCATGGCTTGCTGCCCAATTCAAGGAAGGGCCTGATCACCACAGAGCAACCAGGACCCTGGACACAAGCTGATGGAGTAGCTCCATCTATAGGAACCGTCACCCTTCACTCCTCAGGGAGCCTGGAATTAAGCAATAGCTGTCTGGCTCCTTGCTCTGTGCTTTGCAAATACATACCAATTTCCCTCCACCACCTATGTCAGTGATTGGATATCAGGCAAGCAGACCCAGGTTTGGGGGTTCTATAACAACTCCTCCCACCTGTTTAGGGTTTGATTGGGGATTGGGATAATCAGAACACTCACTCATTCATCCTTCCCTCTGGGGACTGATACCTAAATGCCATGCCTTCAAGGAACAGTAGCCCAGTACTGTGTGAACAGTAACTGAGCAGGTCCCTGGCATCACCATTGCTAGAATCTAGGTGAGCCAGCTGAAGTGGGCTGAACATGGCTGAGGCCAGGAGCCTTGAGGGAAGCCTCTTGCTCCCTTCTTCCTTCCAAGTCGAAGATGACTAAGTCCGTCTCATATGGGAGAAAAAGGTAGGAGTTAGGTAGCAGTAAATAGAGCTGGAATTTTTTTTTCCACAATTTTTGTATAGCCCTGATTGTAACTCCACCCCCCGACCTGTCCAGTATCCCCACTTTCCCATGATGCACCTGTGTCTCATCCGGGACCAGGAAGGAGGAGATGCCATGATAGCCATGTGAAAGTTAAACTTCCCGAATAAGCACCATGAAACTCCCAGAAAGCCTCATGCACGTTAAACTCCACTCCATTTGTACACTCAATTAGGGCACTACCACCACCTACCTCATAAAAGAAATGGAAAGCATGGGAGCAGACTTCTTTTGTTCTTGTCTTCTGGGCCACATTTATGGATCTTTCTCTGCCTTCTCCCCATCTCTGTTCTCATAGGCAGCTCTCTGGCCCAGGTATGATGGGTATCTCTCCAAGTGGAGTGGCCCACACTCACGCGTGCGTGCATGTTTCCTCTCTCAAATAAATCCTGTTTTCACTTGTGC